CTAACCGACGGCCCACTGACCCCGCTGCCTAATAACAATACACAGGATACTCTCCAGATAGAACCCATTAACATTCGTACTCTATGGCAAGCTGGCTTAAGGGTAATACTTGCGGAAACCGTATATTGCCTCGGATTTGTTGTATGATGTGGCACACGCGGAACTGCGTCAATTTGTTATACTACGGAACACGCGTACAAGGTCCAAGCTTGGTTATGAATCACCACGTGTCTGGTAATGCAGAAGCGATGACTCATGGGATGTATGGTGTGTGAGGTGCACTCAGCACCGGAGCTAAACGGCATAAAAGTGGTGCCTGTCTGTAGTATCGGCTTATGCCCCAACCAACTGCAGGTCTGACGCACGGAAGGATACTTTCTATCGAGAGCTATCCGGGCTCAATTGTCTGGCAAAAAGCACCGACATGGTGATCTTTGATGGCGATATGAATGCCCAGGTCGACTTTGTAGACTCCTTAGAATCCCACTTGAGCAGTCGATTCGAAGTTGATTCTCGTCGCACAGAAAATGGAGCGAATCCTCCTGTTGTGTGCTGATCATGATCTGATCATAGCCAGTACAAAAGTTCATCAGTAACTTTCGCATCACGAACCCTAGGAACCACCGGCTGCCGCTTGCCTTACTTCTGCTATTTGGCCACACCGACCATGGATGTTGCTGATGCCATTAGTACGGACTTTTGCCAGGAAAGCCATACCAGCAGGCTACGAGTATGCCGGCTTACGCATATCTCTCAATCACCAAAGAGTGAACAGCCTAAGAAAATTCTGAGAGCTCTGGTAGAAATCGAAAGCCCGGGAGATGCAGAAGGCTTTTGCTGCTGAAAACAGCTGTGCCCTATATAAACTGATGCGACAGACTGGCACTAAAAAAAATCGGCCAGCAAAGCGGTAAGTGTAGAAGGCGGCTCATTAATCCATTAGCGGAAAGTTGATTGAAAAGATGGCCAGAGCACTTAGAACAACAGCTTAGCCGGCCTTCTGTCACATGGCCTCTGTAGACAGTGCAAAATGCGAATGGAATTTGTTGTGTCATGCCGTTTTCGCCCTTGGATTTCTGCTCCGCACACCATGGTATATAAAAGGCATTGTAGCCTCAGAAAGCCGTTTATAGAGGCAAAAGAATATTATTACGACCGCATTTAAAGGGTCACCACAGAATGTTCCACAAGGTCCTGCTTGAATCTCCGTGAAGAGGTGAGAAGCGTCGAAGTAAAGATGCTCGATCCAGATTGGCTGGCATTCTGACGAATCAGAGCGTGCCCTTGTTTGGTCCGTAGCTCGCACGTGACATCCGTCCAATTGACACGATGTTCGATTATTGGGCAGGGCTGGCCTACACACAAAATCGAAACCTTGGTCGCCCGTCGGACGAACGGGTGGAGTACAAATTATTTGTACTGAAACGTGCGAAAGCGCCAGGACCGGATGTTTTGTATCCGGCCGTCTTCGAATAAGGCGGAGGTTCCCCGGTGACCTATCTAAGTCTCATTGTTGCGATATGGGGTGAAGTGGAAGTGCCTGCAGAATTGAGTATATCGACACTTATTGCAGTCTTTAAAAAGGTCATGCGGATGCTGTGTGAAAACCACCGTAACATCAGGATCATCCTTGGAACGAAGGTGCTCTCTCGTCTTTGAAGGTTGACTGAACAAAGGGAAAGACAGACCCGTGAAAATTAAGTCGGGTTGCTTCCCGCAAGAGGTTTCAGCTACCATATTCTCATAATTACACAGATACTGCAATGGCGACACTGCTTCCAGCAACCAGCTGTGGTGGTCTTTCTTGACCTTAAAGCTGCCTTTGATTCTTTGGTCAATCAGGCACCATTCCGGTAACTGAAACAAAGGTGTCTTGACTCTCCTTGTACACCAACTCCCGCAAATGTGTGCAGATCTATGGGAAGCTCTCGCCGGAGTACAATATATCAAGTCGTATCAAGCAGGACTGCCCTCTTTTACCTTTCCTCAACTTCGTCACTGATGTGATTATGGCACGTTCAATCTCTGCCTCTAAAGTCTGTGGGGTCGAAGCGCTCACAGGTGTCGAATGCGCAGACGAAATATCTCTCTCTGAATCTGACACCATCGCGATGCAGAGAACACTGAAAATTAAAACATCGTTCATCCATTACACCCTTTCGGTAGCTGCCATTTTACCTTTCCTCAACTTCGTCACTGATGTGATTATGGCACGTTCAATCTCTGCCTCTAAAGTCTGTGGGGTCGAAGCGCTCACAGGTGTCGAATGCGCAGACGAAATATCTCTCTCTGAATCTGACACCATCGCGATGCAGAGAACACTGAAAATTAAAACATCGTTCATCCATTACACCCTTTCGGTGCCTAGCTGCCATGCCACGCGTTAGTCCGGTCCATATCACTAATGCTCACTTCAGGAAGATTCCAACGTTACACGCCTTTGAATTTAATAAACAATAGTAAGTGTGACTCAAACGCGCTAACCTCACCTTCAGAATGAAACTCGCCACATGTGGCAAGACATTGAGCCTCCTACTTGAAGACGATGGTCTCGCGAAAGATGATGTTCATCTGAATTGGGAAGGCCAGTGCAGCTTTTGTGAACCTACGTCACCTGTGGCGTAGGCGTGACATCAGTTTCTCTGTCAAGGACCGAGTTTACAATGATGCGGTGCGCTCCATATTACTATATGGATCAGAAACATGGCTGCTGCGCGCTGAGGACGTCAAAAGTCTTTCAGTGTTTGACCATCGATGTCTTCGGAGCATTGCCCGAGTCTGGTGGTATCGGCAGTGGTGAAGTTCGTCGAATGGTATTCGGGAGAAATAATTCACCCTCGAGAGATGAACTGATCACACTACATAGGTTGCGCTGACTTGGTCACGTATGCCAGTCGACCGAATTCCTCGAAGGGCTCTTTTTGTACAACCACGTGAAGGGTGGAAGAGAGGCAGAGGCGGTCAAACAATGACTTAGCGGAGAAATGTGAAGGCCATTACCAGCAAACTCAGCTGCGCTGGTCACTGCCGTCTTCATGGATGGGGACCCCGAGACGGTCCACATAAATGGTTAGAGACATTGTCAGGCATGGCGCAGTTGCGCCCTCAATGGCGCTCATGCATCCAAATTATTGCCTTCAATCGATGGCTCCCTTCCCAATCCCCCACTTGACAGCCCACTGACAATGCTGGATTTATGCACCAATTTATCAGCTCCCGCCTCCAATGCGTACGTACCTAACCCACCTCCCCGAGTCGTCGGTGAACGAAACTGCGGCAACTACAACCACTGTGCGACGAGTACGCGGTTATTACAGCTGACAATGATGATGATGACTTGAAGACGCTGGGAGCAGAACTGTGGTCGTTACAACCATGCCGATTGAACCAAACACTCCTTTCCTAATTGTCGTTGCGTCCTCGCCAAACTAAGCATATACTAACTATTATTCTGAGGCACCAGTTGGCAAAGACTTGGGGACGTCTCGTTTCCTGCTTGCGAAAGCTGTCCATAGCCAGATAACAGTCCTTACGGTAACCTGCTACATATGTCCCTTAAGATTTCGAAATATGTTGATTTGCCGCCGTAGGTGTCTCAAATTAAAAATCGCAACCAGAGGCTTGCAGGTCAGTGCATGAACTCCACTATATTCAGAAATTACACAACGCTCCACAACTTCCAGCACCTCTCTTTAGATCGTAAGTGACGTGTTTACTGGCTACATGTCCAGGAGTAGGAGAACAGGATGATGTATGCTGACGCCAGGCGTTATATATCACCGGCCGCCACCCCTTTTGTTTCCGTTAGTTACTACAAAACAGCTGATGAGGTCCGTCATCGACTGTTGCTCTCAGGCTATTCTGACCCTAAACTGATTATAGTTTTGTATGTACTGGTCGGGAGGGACGTGCCAGTTGCCTTAAGGTTCACCGGGACAAGGGTGTCAACCTACGTGGCATGACATTGCGTGGGAACCATCTAACCTCTGAGATTTGTTCTGGAGACTTGTTAGGTCCTTCTCCGAATCCTTTGCTTTGTAATTTAAAGGACTGCGGTCTATCAAACCGGACCAGAGGTCTTCAGATGGTGAATTAATGCCATTCGCTATGTAAAATAGAACTGGGGCCTGCCAAGAAAACTGCTCCCTTCAGATAAGCAAGGTGGTGCGCTTCAATAGTATTGCCAATCCCGGAAAGGAGCGATAAATCGTCACTGTGAGGTAAGTCCAGTCGAGATCAATATTGCGAAGGCCAAGTTTTTCTCTGCTTTTGTGGACTTTTTCTGCGTAACCTCTCATGAAGGAAATCAAGAGATAGAACAAGTTTACATTTAAGTACATGGGTTCCACCATTTTGCTCAACGGAAAAGCGAAAGAAGAAACCTAACTTCGGATTAACAGCGTCAAGTATGCTTCACGCGGCTGGACAGCATTTTCGCTGGAATCGGTCCACCCACGAAACATCGGGTTGGCGAGTACCAAAGGTTCGTTACCTGGGCAAAACGTTTACCGTTGAAGTCCGGAGAAATTGCCATGACCTATCTCAGTTCCTTCAAGAAGGACATTGGTTTAGAAACGCACGTTGTAAGAAGGATGCTGCCCACGCCATGTCGGGGGCAACCTTGTCGGAGAACGGTTAAAGACGCGATCCTGTTAAGCCAAGGACGACGTGGAGCAATTTGGCCTCCACGCGTTGTGCTGACCACTAGAACCAGCACTGAGCCACCATATATGCTGATCTGGTAGCAGCTTGTCGATAGTCGTCAGCTCTAACCGTGATATTCCTGAAGCTGATCCCAGAGATACTTGAAGGTAAAGCAAGAGTAACTTCATTACTGCACTACACTGTGGCCTGCAGCGACTGGGGTGTTACGCTGTTTCATTTTTTCTGCTTCAGGTTGTGCATTTGTCTCGGACACGTCTTCATTCATTGCCATTGAAGTGTTTTCACAATGAAGGTTAGTGATTGACCGTATTTCGAAACTATTCGATTCCTGTTAGGTTGAAATTCGTGATGCCAAATCAGACAAGATTTTGTATACCTTTGCTGAGGTAAGTTTTATATGAATGACTATGTTCCAACTGCATTCCCATAGCTCCCAAATGATGGCACGGTCAAACACGTCAAGAATGAGATTTTTGCTGCAGGTAATCCCATTGGAAATAATGCCTTGAGTTTCGCTTAGATAAACGCCTCAACCCGAGTAGACAAGCCTTGCGCCTCACTCCACGTGAGTTCTCCTTTGTTACAGATTGCATTTTATGTTTGTTCTCTTTCCACTCAAAATCGAAGCGGCGACCCTATTGTTGCGTCACGGGTTGTCAGTAAGGCTTGAGCTGACTTCGTAGCTTTCAGACCGGATGGTTTGTAGTTCGGACCCAACCTCAGCATTTCGACTGCGCCTGTCTAGGCTTGGGCAACATGGCTTTATTTCGGCTCTGGTGCTTCCTTCGGGTGGCACAGCAGCTTGGCACCCTTTCGGTGCCAAGCTCGAACGATTTTTTATCATCAGGAGCTCGACGCAGCTCAGTGGTCAGGGCGCGAATGTTTGACCGGGAGGTCTATGGTTCGAACGCAGCTTCGGCATCCCGGCTACTCCTGTCTAGGGTTGGGCAACCTAACAGTATCTCAGCCGTCGTGTTTCCTTCGGATGGCATGGTAGCTAGGTATCGAAAGGATGCTTCGGCTTGACGACTGTTATCGCCAGGCTGTTGTAAAGTCCCTCAAACTTTATATTGATCTGATAAGCGGAAAGAGCGCTGACATAATCTTCCGGCCTTACATGTTCGTGGCTGGAACTATATGGTGAAATGTTTCTTTGGAATTAAGATGTGACATTTCCTCACCGAGTACTCCTAGTTGGTCTAGCTGTTGGGTTGAAGGATTTACTGAAGGATTTCATCTGCACCCTGTATAGTTTTCGGTAGTCCGACGATATCTGATCTCGCGCAAAACCAATGCAGTAGGAACGAACTGGTGTTTCACATTAGCCCTGTCTTTCTACGCGTACATAACCAGTTGTACTCAATGATGCTGGGACTTGCGACTACTTATCTACCGACCTATCCATCTCATTTTCAAATCTGAGACTAGTTGAGTGTTACTCCTCGGATTTTTCACGGTCTTCATGAAGGACCTGTTAATTGGCGAGCCTACGGAACTTGGATTTGACTGCGTTAATTACGAGAACATAGCCCCGGAAGGGAATCTAATGATTGTCTTGTCCTGGTTGGGACTCATCAAATCGATGTGAGCAGTAACAACCGCATTTCTACTTTCCTCCTGTGTACAATGTTTCACTTCCAGTTACGAAGGGTTGTTAACTGTCAGCTCCTCCACGAAGGTCCTGAAGGAGTTGGCAATCATAGTTGACTACTGTCAAGTAGTCGTATATCCCAACAATTGCTTCAGATGGACGAAAATGGGAAACCACTTCAATTCATCTCCGCCATGCATGCGGTTCTGATTAAAGCGGTAAACGATGAAAACGGCTAACCAAAGCGACGTATTACCTGTCCTTCTACGTCATCTTTTGAGCCTTAATTTGGAAGACTGACTACATGCTGCTCCATTTCCATCTAAACACATTTCGATTGCCACATACTCACCCTAAAAAAGAAATCCATAACACATTTAACCAGAATCCTGCCTTTGATGACCACTGAGGTTGGCGTCATTGGTGGTTAGATGGTATACCGTAACTCGTGTTGGGGGAGTTTACTGTGGGATCAACGTTGGATAATTTAGGTTTTTAATCGCTCCGTCCTACCAGCAATGTGTTGGGCATTGAGTGTGAGGAACAGAGGTAAAGTAATAAATAATAATCATTCAGCTGTAGCATTCTTTCAGTGACTGGCTACTACGCCACTCAAAGGTAGCACGAAGGCTGAGATACTGCCAGGTTACCCAAGCCCAGACAAGGGAACAGAGGTATGTTCCTTTGAAGCACAGGTGTTTCATTTATATATAACCATCTTTCGGGTCAGTTTGTTTAACTGTGGTATCCCATTATTGAATGCCGGTTTGGTTTTTCAGTGAATCTCTGAGTGGACGTCCCAACGGTTAACTGCTTTGCTTCATCCTGTTACAATCTCCTTGTTTAGATGAAGCTCACCTGTAATTCGTATAGAGTTCCTAATGACTTGACCACGAGTTGAATCCCGTGTGGCCCTTTCAACCTCTGTTGAAAATCGAGAAGTGCTGTGCATCTGTCTTCTGAGATTGATGGTCAATAGTACGCTTCTCTAGGGGGTTCGAACCCGCAACCTTCCAAACGAAGATGAAACAGCTCTATACTACTTCTTGGTCCAAGGCATAGGTTAATTTGGCCGTACAGAATGAAATCCGTAATCGGGGGCTCATTACTGTTTTGTGACTTATCTCTCTCCTTCGAACCAAATACCACTGTGTTTTGGCTTTATCAACTCAACTCTTCATCATACGGAGCTCACCAAAGCCCAGCTTTTTTTCTGAGCATCATATCCTACTATCATAAGGCTGTATCTGGCTCCTTCGACACATGATTCGCCACCCAAGTCCGTCAAGTTAATCAAATGAGTCGTATTCTCCTCACTGTCCACTTCTCTGTTTTTAGACATCCTCTAAAGTTTCATGGTGCTCCTTACTGAACCATTCTCCCCACAATAATAGTTTCTAATCCACACTTGATTGAGGTGACTCGGTGGTTAGGGTGCGAACTTACTGAAGGGAAGGTTCGTAGTTCGAACGCTCTCTCGACTGCTCCTTTTCAGGCACTATTTCGGCCCTCGTGCTTCTTTCGGATGGCATAGCAGCCAGGTGCCGAAAGAGTTGTGGAGCGCAACGAACACTCGATCATCTTTTTTTTTATTGAGTTGTGCTTCATATGTGCACACACATACATACACTATTCTTCTTCTCCCTTAATTAGCTGGAAAAGCTTTGAACGACAGTCGCCGTCTAGAAGATTTGTGCGAAGGCGAAGAGAAACGCAAGCTTTGCCTGTATCTTCGTGATTTGGGGCCACAAATCGGTTGGCGCACGGTGTTCTTGGTCGAATACACAGCGCCTCTCGTGCTCTATTTGACAATGTGGGTTTTACGCCAACCACAGCTACACCTGTCGTGGATCACTCCAATCACAACGCATCAGGGTTTGCGAAATCTGGCTCTTGCCTGTTGGTGCGGTCATTACGTCAAGCGAATAGCCGAGACTCTGTTTGTTCATCGATTCTCAAACGCTACGATGCCATTGCGGAATTTATTCAAAAATGCCACCTACTACGGTGGATTCGGTTTCTTTGTCAGTTATTTCGTGAATCATCCACTTTATACACTGCCACGTGAGTGAACCATTTTTGACTGTTGGACTCTTATATTGGTGGAATGTGGACATTTCTTATTTGATTTCAGTATCCTCGCAGGCGAGCGCGCTATACCAAGCATCCCGAAGCTATGTTTATGCGTTCATTTTAGAACTAACAGATGTGTACCCTGGCTAACTGTTTGTTTTCGTGCCAACGACACCAACGTTTCCAATTCGCGGTGCGCAGACGACCGTATGGGCAACAGTTGACCCGCACGCGTTATGGCTTCGTTATGGTCGTTATCTTTTTTAAGTTCCTCTATGCCAGTGGAGACCGGAATATCTGCCTTTGTTGTCACTGACATTTAACAGGGCAGTGGCTATTTTTAGCATGTGTTGTGCATGTGATACTCCATCGATTGGACAGATCTGTCGTCACGTACTTGTAATGGTGGGATGGTATCCATTTTTTCGGACTGAGCCGCATGAGCGTCCTGTACCCGGTGTGAACCCAAAGGAATAACACCGGAGGATGAACAGGAAAAAGAACACTTCTAAAGCCATCAGTACGCCCAACTGATAGCTGTCAATTCAAGTGGGTGGTTTGGGAGCTCCCGTCCCTCTCGAAACGCACTCATAACAAACCTATGAGCTCGAGGTAATTCAGTGGTTGGGACGCCAACTTATTGGCTGGAGAGTCCGTGGTTCGAATCCAACCCTGGCACCTCGAATGCTCCCTCCAGGCTCAGGCAACCCGACAATATCTCACCTTTTGTGCTTCCTCCGAAAGTTGCCACAGTTGAACGATGACTACTGCTAATCTTAGGCAGGTCCTTTCGACATCCACATATTAAACACAAAGATGAAATGAGTAAAATGAAACAAAACATCATAGTACTGTACAGCAAGATGCGGTCGCACGAACCACAGTTAGATTCGATTAAATACGGCAGAACACAGTCAAAATAAGTAGGAGCTGGCGGTGAGAACTGACGGACAACCTAGCTCTAACTGACGACCACTTAAGTCTTCTGTCGGGTTGGGTGGAAGTGCTCACTCGGACGACAGCGAAGATAGAGGGATGTATTAGCTGTGGAACAAGAGATTGACGACACCATTCGGTCTCCTGATGATGCCACGGAACGCTTCAGCTGCCGATCTGCTACAAACCAACATAAACTGGAAAATGTACGTTCACACGGCTTTGTTGACCAACGAAATCTCGTCAATTATATATGGCAAACGGGGATCGTAGGATGACCGTAGGAACCTGATATACCTGTTGCGAATTCTGACAGGAAACGGACACCCAGAGAAGCCAGTAACAAACTATTTGAGGCAGCGGAAGACTGCGAAGGCCGTCAGTCCCCCAGATGCCTGTCAACATTAAACTTCCATTCAGTAGCGACAGTGCTCCTGAAACAATCAAGCAGAACCAAACGACTTCACTCGAAACACCGTTCGATGCAACCCAGCGTGGGATCCACTCTAACAGTAATCGATTGCTCAACACAGACATTAAGGATGAGTTAGCATAAACTGCTTACATTTTGATGATGAAATCTCAAAATTGCTTCTGCCCACTTTCCAGTTGCCCTTCCGGAATCTGGCGACATGGAAGTGAGAGCTGTCTACGGCAGGGGGGGGGGCACACCACAGGTGAGATTAGGTCGATTGGTCAACGCATATTATGAACTCACCCAGAAGCTAGACCCTTGATCAGGGACCTAGGGATGACATTACGAGATTTATCGCATTATCTTAGTCAAAGGTATTCCTGTTGTGATGCAAGACTGGGTGGACTCGAATCCTAACCTCATGCTTTCGGGTGAACCGATTGAGGTAGTAGACAAATTTGTTTACCTGGGCAGCTGTATCAGTCATGGTGGTGTAGCCACAGATTGTATTTCCATTCGGATGGGGAAGGCTAGAGCAGCTTTCGTGAACCTGCATCACTTGTAGCGTAGGCGTGACATCAGCTTATTTGTCAAGGGTTGAGTTTACGATGCTGCAGTGTGCTCCATATTATTATGCGGGCCATTGTTTGACCGTCTGTGACTTCGGAGAACTGCGTGAGCATGGTGGGGACATCGGATCAGTACTGCTGAATTTTGCGTCAAATGGTTTTGAGAAGTAACTCCTCCACGACAGATGAACTTGTCTCACTCCGCATGCCAGCTACCCAGCTTTCTCGACTATTCCTTTTTTCTCACAACCATGCGGAAGGTGGAAACGAGTCAGGGGAGGTCAAACAATGACTTGGCGTCGAAGTATGAAAGCCATTACCAGGTGCACGCTGGTCATTGCCGTCTGGACGGATGAGGACCCGGACGGCCTTCAATGCTTAGCCATCTACCTCACCTCCTCAAATCATCAGTGGACCAAACGGTGGAGGCTATAACTAACTAATGTACGGCAAGTACGCGGTCTCTACAATTGTTTGTGATTATAGTGATTTCTACTGCGATCTATCAGGGAGTTTTTAGGCGTTTCTGGGGACTTGACAAAACTGCTCGCCTCCACATTGAGAGGGAATTTCGGAAATCCGTTCTTAGCATACCAGCGATCAAGAGACTAGCACGTCGTTTCGTGTTTTTCCTTCTGAGGATAATTTGGTCACTTTTGGTCACAAATGTCTCCATGATTTGAGTCATTTATCCTCAGTCCTTTTTGACAGGAGACCACAGTTTCCGGGATTCGAACGAGTTACCAGACGGTCAGTAGCCGGCATAATACATGTCCTTCGGCACAGCTGGTGCACTTTTTTCCCGCAAGAAATACGATTTTTGTTAGACTGTGGAAACGGCCAATGACCATAAGGTTTAGCTGAGTGGCTTGTTTATCAGTTTATTCCTGATCCCAACCATTCAATTCACTCTGAGAGGTTTTCTTTGATATCAAATAGACCCATTAGATTTGCTTGAGTTGGGTGTTGCTAGCTAACTCTTTTTTTGTTACCTCAGATTGTTTTGAGATACGTTCTCATTGTTTCGGGAATTTCTTCTATGTTCATCCGTTTTCGTTTCTCTCCCACACAGTGTATGGTTGTAAACAAATCTGTTTTGGCCTTGGCCTATTTCTGGTAAGCGTGATTATTACTCATTCGATAACTGATGTCTTTTTGTGTCTTTGTATGCAGTCCAGTGTTCATTAAATACTTGTGCTATTTGAGAAAGATGGCGAATTTACTGGCCGTAAGGTTCGTGGTTCGAACACGAACCCCGCCCCTCGACTTCCTCCGTCTAGGCTTGGGCAACCTGCCAGTATCCCAGCCCTCGTGCTCCTTTTTTGTGGCATGGCAGTAGGCACCAAAAGCGTGTTACAGCTGAACCCGACCCAACAACAAATGCTTTTGCTATGTCCAACTTGTCACAGAAACCGTCGAGTTGGTTCTGAGTCATATAACTTGCCGGTTTTATTGGAAAGCTCAAAACTCCTGTGGGACGGGATAGAGTTAATTCCTGTGTCTTGTGGGTTGCAAATTAGTGCCCGTCTTAGCTTACTTTCAAAGCAGACGTCTTTATAGGGTGTTCATTTTCTAGGTGAAAGATCACATCCGGCGGCATTCTCTGTGCGTTTCTCAAATTTAATCGGTGCGGGCTATCTACGGTGAGTTCTCTCGGTCTGAGTCGCAACGACTCACAAGGCTGGCTGGTACAGAAGGACTCTTTGTGACTGTGATGCGGACGAACATATCAGCAGCTGTCTTGAAGACATTCTGTGCAGTAGAATATGACGCGTTACTCCCCCCCACCAACAAACACCTCTATCAAATCATTTTATTTCATTGCAACCCACCTTTGCGGAAGAGGCCTTTCCAGAACTGAAAGACCGCAAACCGGAAAAAGCCTCTGAGAGGAGATACCACAATCGACATGCCCCGGGCTGTTGACCCTGTTTTGCTGTAAGCGTCTTAAGGAACTGTTTCCAGGTGGACTGATCTCAGCCACTTGTTCAGCCGTGGCCACGCACACAACACCATTCGCTACAAGAACTTACAGTTGATGTTGCAGCGCGCGGTATTTGTCAAGCACCCAATAATCATTATTGCTCAGCCATCATGTAACACTACGTTTTCGTTATAAATTGTCGTGCTTGGTGTTTCTCCTAGTTGCTCGTTGGCTTGGTGTGTAAATTACGGGTATGCGTACGTGCTCAATATTTCTGGTTCCCTTCAGGTTGAGCCCGACCTAAAGCTGCCACCTTGACGTGGTAGTCGAGCTTGAGTGCTGCAATGATCCCGCGGGCTACACTGGCTGGAACTTCGTTCCACAAGGTGCAACTATGCCAGGAAGGCCAAAGGGGAGCAGCCAGACCAAGAGCAGCGAGACCCCGTACTACGAGTAATCGTGCTACGAAGCGGTCTGGGGGTAAAGTCGTACTGTCCTCTGGCACAAGAGTGTGAAGGCAATAAGGTGTTTCCCCCAGGCGACCAGCACGTCCATATTTATGGAAGCAGCGATGCTGCCTTCCCCCGAGGAAGGACGGGTTAGAAAAGGTCGGCCCCAAAAACTGCACACTCCGATCGCGCGACCGGCCTTGTTTCTCCATGAAGAATTCCCATTGGAGGTTATTTGCTATCCGCAGATTGGCCAACTCCACGAAGACCGTTGGCGGGATTAGCTCAAACGAATGGATCTATAGTCAATCATTTATTTTCCTGAGAGATGACTCTCTATATTCCATGTCGTTATCTGTATTTGATTCTGTTTGAAATTTAAACCTCGCATGAGGTGGCTACTCAAGTTTTAATTGCCCTTTTTTCTCACTGCCCGACTCTTCCTTCTGCCTTGAAATCACTCCACCTCCTAGTTCTCATTCAATTCTGTGAGCTTTCAACTGAATTATTGACATTCTGTATTTTTATGCGCCCAGGTTATCATGAGCACACAGTCTACTTGATAAAGTGGTACGTAGTTATCGGTCAAGACCGAAACCGAACCGAATCGTTCAGCTGTAGTGACCTCTCGGTGCTGCCATGTCACCCGGAGGAAGCATGAGGGCTGCGATACTGCCAGGTTGCCCAAGCCCAGACAGGGTTGGGGTTCGAACCACTGACCTTCCGGCCAGTAAATCCGCGCCCTAACCACTTGAGCCATCTCGATCGTGCGTGCGTTCGCAGAACAAACGGAACTTATGTGTCGTCCTGAGGCTGGATGTAGGTTTCGGGTAAAAGATAGCAGAATTGCCCGTCCTGCATTTATCAGTGTGGTTTAAGCATGTGCGCACAGAGGTGCAGACAAATGTACCATCGTGAATGGGGAAGGTTATGCTTCATTAGTTCATTCGCGCCCTAACCACTTGAGCCATCTCGATCAAACGTGCGCTCGCAGAACAAACGGAACTTATGTGTAATCCTGAGGCTGGATGTAGGTTTCGGGTAAAAGATAACAGAATTGCCCGTCCTGCATTTATCAATGCAGTTTAAGCATGTGCGCACAGAGCTCACACCGTTTTGAGGTTTCTCTGAGTTGACCAGATCAACCACTGTTGTGTTGCATTGCGTCTTATGGTTTCTGTTGCAACCAAGACCCACCATGGAACAAACCTTTTGTACGGAAAGTTTATCTGTCAAGCCCGTTGGTTCGTTTTAAGATTGCGTATCGGAGCCAACCAGCAGAATTAGACGTTATTTGAATCTCGTCGCTCATTTTCCGTGCCAATCAGTGTGAAGTCCGAAAAAGATGTTCCTGTTCTTTTCCCCACTGTACTCACTGTTGTTAGTCGAAGACAGAATGTGTAGACTGCTGTTGTGTTGCATTGCGTCTTATGGTTTCTGTTGCAACCAAGACCCACCATGGAACAAACCTTTTGTACGGAAAGTTTATCTGTCAAGCCCGTTGGTTCGTTTTAAGATTGCGTATCGGAGCCAACCAGCAGAATTAGACGTCGTTATTTGAATCTCGTCGCTCATTTTCCGTGCCAATCAGTGTGAAGTCCGAAAAAGATGTTCCTGTTCGGGAAGTCACCATATGTTCTTTTTCCCCACTGTACTCACTGTTGTTAGTCGAAGACAGAATGTGTAGACTGCACAGGAAACTCGAGAGTCCTTGAAAACTAGTTTTCGCATCACCATTTTCTATAAAATTTCACTGGTTTGATGTAATTAACCTAAAACATGGATGGGATAGTCACAACTTTCATCTTGAACTCTCGTTTTTTAACTAGAGGCTCAGTAGACTTCTACACACTTTTGTACCCTGAACCGTCAATATGACGAGCGAACTGGTACTCTGGCACATTTGTTTATCAGCTTCATGACTAGAATTATTTACTGAGGTGTAACAACACCGATGCGACTGCCATTGGAGTGGATCTGCAAGACAAACCCTGTCTGTGCGTGCATCTGCTCTCGGTCAGGTTGCAGCCGGCATTCTGTTGATCCACTTATCGATTTAAACCCTACTCTCACCCACACACACACAGGCACACCTCGCCACCACCGTCATCACGGTCAACCGCAAAACAAACACTGATGTTTCGCCACTGTGATCAAAACAACAGATGTTCAGCGCCCAATTTTAATCTGTCTAATGGTGACCTCACGGTGGCATCTTTGGATCAAACGACAAGCAAATACAATCGATAATTATATAATTTATTTACTGGTGCATTTCGTTACCACCTACCAGTTGTGCTTATTGAACTCTCTGGAAATCTACACAGGTCTCTGAGTATGGCAATTTCTGCTGTCATCTGGTGCTGAGAAATCTCCGTCCAGCTGGATCTACCGTACGAGGTCTTCCGAAACCGGAACCTGGTCAGTTTTTGACACGTATGTTCAATCTCGTGGCCTGTCCAAACTACACTTACGAAGTCATGGCATGGCTAGGATTTTCCATCATGACGCAGTCGCTTCCGGGTAAGTTACTGGTTCCAATGTGTTTATTACGTCGGCGTCGATATTTGTGTTCTAATCCTTTGTTTAGAGATGGCAACTGTCTGTTACCGTCTAACACTTCTGACGTATGCTTGGTTCGTCACCGCTCGTTCCTTTCTGCCTCATTGGGCAGAGGTATCAATTGGAATTGCACTGTTTCCCCGAAGTTTTCCGCTTTCAGTGATTGACCTTGAACATCAGCACTCGCATATCCGGTTGGATACGAGACCAAACTTCTGTCTGTTGTAGTCATTGATTTCTAAGGACAGATAACTTTCTTGACGTAACACGTCGTCACTTATATGGTTGCTGGAAACTCTTCGACAACCCATTACCAGTTTTACCATCAAGCCCATCAAGTAGATCTGCTACAGAGCATGCGTTAATCTGATTTCCTACTCACACACCAGTTGGACGTAAACTAAGTTGGTGTTAACCGTCAGCTGATTCCCATTTGGATACCCCCCACTGAATATGCTGCACGAAGACTGCACCATCAATGGCAGTGAACTTTCTTGAAATGACTCGGAGTACTTGCGATAAACGCGAATTGCCGCTGGGGTCCGATGGAATTGCTCAGTAACACCAACTTCTGTATGTATGTTTCGCCGACAGACAACCTCGTGTATTCAAGAGTTCGCACATTGTTCCAACCGGGACAAGGCGGCAATAGTCTCGACAACAGGTAGGTCGCATCGTCGTCTGACAAGTGCCAGCACCATTCTGAGTGGTTGCCCTGTTTCTCGTGACCGGTTTCCCAACCCTGACTTGTTCGTTTCTACCATGGGTTAGTGACCGAGACTGCTACACACCCTAGATTTATTCACGATAACCAGTCTTCTCCCGACGGGCATTTGCTCGTCTGATTCCCTAGGTTCATCTGATCATCGTCCGTTCCCACCGATTTCCACCCACTCCCTTTTCCCAGTTGACCTCATTGTACCCTTACCTGTGGAGTATTTTTCGCCAGACAATCTTTCAGTTTTCGACTGAGAGAATAAATATCCTTCGTGGAGTTGTGACTGACTCAGTTGATTTACCCCTCTTGTGAGCCTGGCGAACAATCACACCGGTTCAACCACGCATGCACTACTGACGGTTGGTGCCTCTTCTCCCTCACGTATCCATCCAGTTGCAGCTGGGTAGAGATGGACCAAGTGGTTAGAGGGCAAATTTACTGACCGGAAGGTCCGTGGTTCGAACCCGACCTCTGCCTTTCGACTTCCCGTGGCTTGGCAGTATCCCAGTCCTCGTGCTCTTTTTGTGTGGCATGGAAGCTAGGCATCGAAAGGATGCTGCAGTTGAACGGAAAAAAATGCAGCTGATATAGCTAAAGGTAGGACCTTTGGTCGGATGGCAAACCAACTATCGAACGCTCAAACTAGCATTCGATTATTCTGGGATGCGACCATACCTATGGGGGAAATCGTATTTCTCGCCCGATTTTCTCATGTAAATCTTCTCCTGCACCTCTGAACCTCATCATCGTAAACGGATGCATTTTTCATTACCTCTAACGACGCCAACGTGCGTTCGTCATTTCTTTCTTCCCCAAATTAGGTCCAGAAACTGTGTTCCTGAAGCTGGTCGGGTCGTCAGAAAACTTTCCCTCTCACCAACTACCTTCCGTTTGTCCTCTGTTTCTTTTCATATTCACTCCTCAGCTTGTTATGCCACCATTGACCCATTTTCATTCTACCACCCCCAACGCACTGCCGCTCAGCGATTTTGTGACGAATGTGCACAAGCCAAAATTTCGCGTTAACGGCCTTCTTCTTGGTGTTCACCACACAGCCTTCACCAAAGTCCCGCATCTTCCCTCTTTTGTTATTGCGGTTGGCAGTAACCGACTCGTTCCCGGGACCTACTATTCATCCCATAGAAAGTCCTCCCCACGCATCCGTTATACCAGGTGCAACAGGTGTGTATCCATGATATGGCAACGAATGCGATCAGGCACTTTCTTCTCGGGAAATGACGGTACAACGCACAAACCCATTTGCGCCGACCATTCGCGAACAACTCGCAGGCACCGGAACAGCACTAAATTGCAACGCCAAACGAACAGTGGTTAAAAACACCGTTATCGAGCCAGTTATTTTCGCTTGTTTGTTTTTTTCAGCCGCACGTACGTGGTCTTCCCCCAGTCCACCTTCAATTCAGAATCAATAGGGATTGCATTGGGCAGTGAACGTTTTTTCCTCTTGAGACTGCAAGGCACAACATTGTTTCTTTAGATCAATACCAGTATCAGTAGGTTTCTATATTTAGACAAAGTCCACCAGCCAACCAATCAGGCCATCACAAATCCAGGGTTCGTTCGTCAAATTGTTTTCGATGGTAGAGTGAGGGGATTTGGTGCTTTTCAATTGACATGTCATCCCGTGAGCGAAGCAAATCTATGCTGAAAAGCCGAATTGGGATCCTTACGAAACTCAGGGGAGTCTCGAACCTCCCGGCTGGTCGTTTGAGAGCTTAGCTGTTGAGCCACGAGTGGACGGTTATCACTATGATTGACTGGCCAAAGGTGCGAACAATTTTTGCTCGAGAACTGGTCACTCGAAAAGTCAGTCAAGACGTGACCACGTGATACGCTCACCGTGACTGAAGTATAGGCGCTTTGTCCTGTCGAAGTGCGAGTTAATCACTCTGGTGGTCGGCCACTCGCGGCTAACAACTAACGGGAAGGTTTCCGATTCGAAACTCTTTCGCCTTCGCTTCATTGGCAGGGCGAGACTCCAGACCACCGTTCAGCCGCTCGTGGCCGGACGGTCGAGGGTTCAATCACTGACCAGTGTCTGGCGGATTCGAAACAACCGCGAGATGCTCATAGGGCTGGAACAATTCCACCGTGTTTCCCGGCTTTCCCACACCGATTGATCTAACTGACAAGGTAGAATCTCATCTGAAAATTTTGTCTGTTTCAATTAAGAACGGAGTAAAATGTTGATTCAAGTGGATGCTGTTGCTTGGCCAATGTGCACCCCTCTCCGTTTTCTACTTGTTTCGAATAGTCTAGGCCTACCATGGTATCGATCATACTAGCTGCATCGTTAGTGATAGAAAGTAGCTGTGTGATGTTCTAGTCTACCGAACGGGACCATCCTCTCTCGGAGGAACAGTACGACATTCGACTCATGGCAGTTTTATTTATTTCATCCTGGAATTCCCCATCAGCCGGTCCTCGTTCTCCTCACTTTTTGTTCACGAGAGATTAGTTATCTTGTCACTTCTTTTGCTCTGATAGTGTTACCAGCCCGAATTTTGCTCACACTAAAAGTCCCAGATCTAATCCAAGTTTGTTAAGACAAGAGCGCTCCATGCTTCGACAAACTATGGACAGAGGCGGCATCATCTTGTCCAGGACTGCGCTAGTGCACCTATGAATGACCACTTTGGTTCAGAATTGAGATCAGAGCAGGTGGTGATAATTTCCTTGGGTAGGATGCCAAATCGTGAGACGTCTCACCACATGAAAGCCTCTTCTGTGTTCTTGTTCAAGGATACGTCTGGCCGAAGTTTGATTTCCCACTCATGGTTTGCACTGCGTTTACTTGGGACCTGTCTGCCTGTCATTTGATGAAAGTAAACCTATGCGGTTCAAACTACAAAAGCCTCCACCTCTGTCTCCATGACTTCACTTCACCCCGGCGCGACCTAGCTCTATCTCCGTCCGGTTGCACTTTACGAACTTTGTGACATCTGTACGTCTGTTGTTGACGGCATTCGACCGCTTTCATCCCTGTCGACCAGACGTGCTACTAGGATCAACCAACCTGATAGAATTCTCCTCGTCAACCTCTGATGCAGTGTTTGCATCATCCCCGTTCAATCTGTCCATCGAGCTCTAGATAGCTCAGTGGTTAGCGCGCAAATTTACTGACCGGAAGATCCGTGGTTCGAACCCAACTTCTGCATCTTGACTGCTCCTGTCTAGGTTTGGGCAACCTGACAGTAGCTCAGCCTTCGGGTGGCATCTATGCAACGAAAGGATGTTACAACTGAAGGATTATTTCCGGTATTCATTTTCTCGTGATCATTGGTCTATCTTTCTTACGCTAAACAATCTAATCCATTCGTCTGACTAACTTAATTTCCTTTTGCTTCCGTAGCTCTCATGTTCACCGTTGTGGGATTCATTCAAATGGCGATTTGGGCATTGAAAAAACGACAGGCCTACATCCGCGAATTCGCCGAGTTTCCGCGTTCCCGACGCGCCATTGTTCCCTACTTGCTTTAATTCACATTATACTGACAAACAATGAACATTTCCTGTCCCGGTCGTTCATGCTGTAATTTTAAAATCGCTGGTAATCGGTTCATAACCATTGGCTAAGCTGCAACTTATTTTCCCACGTTGTAAAACTGCTTCGATTTTGTGTTAATTGCCAACAAGCGTAAAGTATGGTGTGGGCTTTTTCGATATCACGTTTTGGGGGCGACCAACTTCATTATCGTGGGCAGCTAGCCGTGCGTACGAATACGAAAAACGGATCCACTGGTGAGGACTGAAAAGAAAAGTGTGTGTGTGTGGGGAACCTACCTCAGTAAATATATGTATTTAGCGCAAACGGTCAGGGATAGTCGAATAGACATGTCTGAGCACCGCATTTGAGCAAGACGCTGTTGACAGGTATACAACGTCAGGTTGTAACATAATTTTCATGCCTAGCTGTCATGGTACCCGAAGGAGGCACTTGAGGGCTGAGCTACTTCCAGATTGCTCAAGCCTAGATCGAAGCCTTTGAGGTGCAGAACCTTGGACCTTTCCGTCACTAATTTTACGCCTTAATTAGTGGCCTATCGCAAGCTCAGTGGCTATAAAATCTGGGCTCAGTGCAAGCCCAACGAACCACGACAGACAAGCCTTAGCGGAGTTGTCTGGCTTTATACGGTATCCCTTCGGTTGGGCAACCACACTCAAACAGCTATGGGAAAATGAGGTGGAGTGAAGTCAATATTTCATTCCAACTGTGAGTGGTTGTGCCGGCCTAACGAGACACCTCCGAAACGCTACGCAATTCCTGCACCCTATTACGCAGAAAAGTGGACCACTATCTCATGAAAATAATAATGGTCCCGAGGGTTGTATTACTTGGTGTCTGTATCACATTCTCTGGTTGGACTGGCTGGTAATGACGTTCATCTTGTCCAGCGAGATGTCCCAGACAGTGGATTTATATCTGTACGCCGTTGAATCACCTGTATCCCACGCTGGTATTTCCATCCTTCATATTGATGAACTCACCCGAATCCCCTACCACTGTACATTGGCCTTCCTCGTTACTCATCCTCTGGTGTGAAGTCCCCCGAAAAAAGTTCAAAACGGTTCTTTTCCACCGCTGTCGGTTAGGAAGGCCACACATATTTACCCCCCCCCCCCTGATTTTGGGAATCGGACACTACCAAATTGTTGACTACACCATGAACATTACTAGTCGATCCTTCAAGACACTGGGAATGGATGGGCCTGTGGAAAAGGCACAGACCGTCGCCCTCGATGATTGATGAACTTGTCTTAAAGATTTCGAAAGTTCGAGGATTGTACTGCGTTGACATGTCACTGATCCTAATTTGATGTGAATGCAACATAGGTCCGATGTAAATCACTCTCGGGAACGAAATATCCGGATTCTATTGTTTGACGGACGCATTCATGTGGAATTTCCTATTTTATCGTGTCAGGTAAGCTTAGGGTGGATTGATTGCTGTTGGACATGTAGGCCCACAAAACCTCCGAAGAACGATGTTTCCCGATGGTGTCCCCAAATGAAGCGTTCCGCTGCACCTTGAAATCGTGGTAGAGAGAATTGTTGCTCCGCCTTTCGACAACTACAGTCCGCCGCCCCCCAAGGGTGAAATATTCCCGTTCACACTGTACCCGGTCTGCTTGATCACCGATCAGCTGAGATGTCCAGCCCCAGGTATGCTCTTGTCCTCTGGCTCAGTGGGCCAGTTCGGAAGGAAAACCATCAGTTCTTTATGGCATGGACAGGTGTCAAACATTTTGGGGACAGTATTTAAAGTCATGAACAGCAAAGTTCGTGGTCCGAATTTGCTAGTGATATTATGATTGATCACCGAAGTTCCTGCGAGTTTGGCGTACGCCGCATTCGCGCCAGAGCATCACGAAACTTACAGTACCAGCGGTGTATACTACTGATATAACATACGAGTAGCGTTCAATCAAGTGTCAAAGTGCTGTTCTTGCATCTGGTGAGAGTTTGGTTTCGGATAGCTCGTAACGGTTAAATTCGTGTTGGTCAGTGAGCAACTCTGCACTCGAAGGTCTTTTTCCCTCTGCTTGATCACCGATCAGCTGAGATGTCCAGCCCCAGGTATGCTCTTGTCCTCTGGCTCAGTGGGCCAGTTCGGAAGGAAAACCATCAGTTCTTTATGGCATGGACAGGTGTCAAACATTTTGGGGACAGTATTTAAAGTCATGAACAGCAAAGTTCGTGGTCCGAATTTGCTAGTGATATTATGATTGATCACCGAAGTTCCTGCGAGTTTGGCGTACGCCGCATTCGCGCCAGAGCATCACGAAACTTACAGTACCAGCGGTGTATACTACTGATATAACATACGGGTAGCATTCAATCAAGTGTCAAAGTGCTGTTCTTGCATCTGGTGAGAGTTTGGTTTCGGATAGCTCGTAACGGTTAAATTCGTGTTGGTCAGTGAGCAACTCTGCATTCGAAGGTCTTTTTCCCTCCTCTTGTAGCTTTTAGAAAGCAATGGTCGGTTTGTCGATAGAGACTTCCGCTATTTTCGGAAACGGCCCGCAGGCATCCTGTTATCCACAGGTAGATATTTCTGTGAACTATATATACGTGGTAATATGTGCGGAAGGCGTTAGAGAGTGATGATAGCATTCCATCATGCTCACGTTTTCAAAAGGTCACGTGTTTCCGTGTGGGACGGGATGCACACATTCCAATCTCCTGCGGTGCTGCGTTCTTCTCGCGTAGCTAATGTGTGCTTCCTTCCGCCTGAATTTCCTTTGAATTCTGTATAACTCCACAAAAACGATACCTGTGGTTTGTTTCTGAGTATCGTCGTCATCTTTTCGGATTTCGAGCCCTCATCCAAGGAGATTTCGATTGAAAAAAAGTAACCCATTCTGACGTTTGCGTCCATTTCATCCGATGAGCAAAGTCGGAAAACATGTCTTCATTGTCGAGGAAGAAAAGCGCACAGGATAGACTATCTTCGTCTTCAGGATGGAGTTTGAGTTGCACCTGACTAACTGCTGACAGTCACGACAGACTGTGTAATCCCCGCACAAAGGTGATGGAACGATCTCGTCGAGGAGATGTTTTGTCATCCTGAAAAGAGTCCATCAGTTGGTAACTTCTAAATATGCGTGTGGAATATATTGGGTCCTTCCATGGTTTGTTCTGCTCTTCTGGTAAGAATAGCTTCTGACTGAACGGACCAGAGGATGGATGAGTGGTTGGCAAGTAATCGAGGTGACACCATCAGTGCACACTTAGATAAGTAATTCCTTCTCACCTGTAGTTTTCCAAGACTAGCTTTGAGGGACCGAGGTAAATACCCCTTTCTTGCCATCCTATAGTTCCGTCTCGAGTCGCGTTTCGTTGTGGTCTGTGTTCTTTGAGTTCGTTTGAACAGTTAGGTGATATCTACAGTGGTAATCGTTTTTTTTCGAAGTATATCATTCCTCACTTCCAAAACCAGTGAACAAGTCTAAGATGAGGTGAAATCCCGGGGAATTTCCAAAGATGGCATACATTCAAAGTATCTCTTATCCAGCTAGGGATCAGGTCTTAAAAGCCATCGTAATAGCGCACCTTTTCGTTAGTAGCATTGTCTTCGACTGTCAGCAATCGACCGTGCCAGATAATCCAGCCCGTTCCGCCTTCTTTTGAGTACGTCTCATCAGTTCTAGGGTGGTAGTAACTACCAGGCTAATTTGATCGTATTATGGAGGCAGTAAACCAGTGAGGAAATAATCGACCGTGTCCTGTACATTCCCATGCTTGGAATGGAAGAAAGGTCAATTGTGTTAGACCGTTTCACCAGATCCGACATTTCATTCCTACACCTGTCTCGCGTTTTCAGGTAGTTTTGCTGATGCAGCCTACTGGGTTCGACGGATGATGTAGAATTTCGCTTTTCCATATTAAACATATGGTTCAGCGTGGTCGTCAAGTCCATGGGTATTCACTCGATCGTTTGACTCTGCTGCGAATAGTTTGGGAATCGCTGGTATCCCCGTCGCACAAGCGAGAACCCAATGGGAAGGATATCACAGTCCGTAACTTAGGCGACGGATGTACTGAAAAAGCAAATTTAGAATTTTCCAAGAAGACATCCATTCAAAAAATCCGCCGTATTTTAGTCAGACCAGGGTTATGCCTCACTCAAGATTTCAAGTGTGTCCCAGGTTGTTAGTAGTCCGTTTTTTTTTAAAAAAAAGGTTATCATCAGGAGACGATTAATGTTGGATCGGTCTGCCTCACGACAGTTACCGCTAGGAAAACAGGACTCATTCTAAATTTTCTTAGCAAGGAGTTGGAAGAACAAAGAAAGTGTTTATTATGAAGGGATAATCTTTTTGTGTCAGCCATCTTTGATTCGGAAATTGAGAGAAATGATAGGTGAATGAACTATACTCATGTGGCTCAGCTGGGTGAACGAGTCAGTAAGTAAACCCTGCATCAGGGGGGGAGTTTTCATCTTCTGGATCTGACAAAATCTTCGCAGATGTGGCCTGCTACCTTAACCCAAAGTCAATCTGAAACCAGATAAATGTGTCTTTGTCAGTTTGACTCATACGGCGTTGATAGTATTGCCAATTCAGGAATACAGTCGGTCCAATACAGCCAATTAAAAAAAAACTTGACTGGACAAGGTCCTTGGGCCGTTCTTCCGTTTCGTATAAACCGTCATCGACAGCATAATATCGGTGTTTTGCACTCCGCCACAATAAAAAAGATACCCGCTCCGCAGTATGTTGCAAGTAAGGCGACCCGGCTGTTGGCACTACGCGACGACCGATGTGACATGAGTTTACTTGGTTTATCACACCAAAACTCCCAGGTCCAGACAGGAGAACCATTAGGGTTTGCGACCAAAGCTATTCTTTCAAAAGTCTGAGCGCAAGGGGACGGTGTTCGGCAGTAAACGAAAGTGGATTGTTATATTTATAGAACAAGACACCACACATCTTTCAACCTCCAACCTGGCGGGCCAGGAGACTGTGTTAGACAGACACCTAACCACTGACCAACCTGGTATGAGAGACTCTGTGAGTGTCTCATCGACACCCTCTGTGTAGCTCAATGGGTCGCGGAGGCACACAAAGTGTCCAGTCTCTTCTTGTCACTCCCGGATTTACAGCATTCCGTGACTGCATGTGGACAGTTTTGTAATCAGTTGATGTTTTT